GACTGTAGCTTTCACTTCCTCTTCAGTGTGCAGGGACTTGCTGTCTGCCCTCTGGCTCAGGGCTTCCCTTCTCTTCTCCAGACTTTTATCCTCCATTTCTTCCCGCCAGCCGATTTCTCGGGGAAAACAAGAGACCGGGCGTTATCAGCGGGCCAGGGAGCCCACGCCTGAGCTACTCCAGACTACAGTTTACTGCAACATCCCCAAAGTGGGCCCTCACTGTACCAACCCTCCAAACGCACCGAGTCAAACTGCTCCCGTGTGTTTGTATATCTGAGCTGCTTACGCAATTCAAACCACTTTGTTCCTGTTGTTAAACATCATTTGGCACCAACATTGTATCCGCACCGGTTGTCATATTGGTTCTCCGTAACGATCCTTTGCCATTCCTTCTCCACCTCTCCCATAGCCAAGAGGTGGTGGTTCCTTAGCAACCAATGAAGTAGTGCCTAAAATTCTCTAGATGTCTATAAAAAAAGTAGGTCTATTTAAGAAATCGGTCAAAAAGAGCATTGTGTTTGTAGCCTACTGGAGCAAAACCAATTTTTTATGGTGCAAAAATTGATTTTTTATCTTCAAATATGATGTGATACAGTGGCACAGGGAGATGTGTTTCCTGTATGCCACCTGGTTCTTGTCAATGACTGAGCGTTCAAGAACACGCAGGCAAGGCCTTTCAGCTCCTCACTGGGCACATTTGGTTGTTGACAACTTGAAAGGACGTTGCCCAGCTATTTCTTGGTGGATTGCAGTGTAGTGGTTTCAGCAACAAGACAGCAGCTTCACAATCCTTTGTGCATAAATTTCCAACATGTGGAATATATTTGAGTTTATTAATGATTCAATGGGATCAAGCAAAATGACTTTTTGGACTTTGTGTACCGTTTCCTTGCAGACAGCAGCACGGAGCCTGTTTCTATGATGTTTATAATGCCGATGGGTGAGCCTGCAGCCTTGCGGCGCCTGGCACTCCGTCCTCAGGACAGAGCTGGTGGAGCTGGTGGAGAGTCACAGCTGGGTCCAGGCACCGTGGGGCAGCGTCAAGGCACTCCGGAAAACGGGGAAAACCAACACACCCGGTTTTTCAGTGGACTGGCGTCACCTTGTCAAAGCCAGTTTTTCCTCTGTGAGGCTTCAGTGAGGTTACGACCATGGTCATCTCAGGTACTGCTGGACCCTCACCATCAGGGGGGCAGTGAGGAACGGAGCCCCACTGTCACGATCGCTAACCCCTCCTCTTAAGGGAGCTCCAGCTCTTCCTCGTTCCCTCCCATTGTTTGCACCTGATCCCTATTCCCATTCCCCCTTAAAAGCCAGGCGCTGACGCTCATCCGGGCTCTGCATCTGATTTCCGTATGGTGCGAGTCCGGGACCTGGAAGCGCCTGGTCCCGTTAAGGTTTTAATCTCGGTTCCCGTTCCTGTTCCCTGTCCGCCGGTTCCGACCCGGCCTTCGTGTTTTAATTCCCTTCTTTCGATGGATCTCTTGGTTTTGGACTTATTCATGTGTTTTTGGATACTCTTAGGATTACTCTCTGGGATTGTTCGCCTCGGCCACGCCTCCCCCGTGCACCAGCGCACCTTGGACACGCCCCCCTGTCTTCAGCCCCGTTTTCCTGCATGACGTTTCCCTAGTGTTTCCCCACTCCGTCGGACTGTGTCGTCCGCATAGGGTCCAGAAAGAACTGTTCGTTACACCCACGGGGAGACCCCAGAAGGGGGCCTGCTCCAGCAGCACCCCCGGAGGGTACTGGCACATTGGAAATGTGAGTGCGTCTCCCGGCGAGGCTCCTGGTTCTCTGGGTCTCCCGGGGAGACCTGTGAACCGTGAATTGTGCGGTCTCGAGGCGAGACTCCAGCGAGGCCGGGGTTCAGCAGAGCCCTGTGCCGAGGTTCTGGGTTCGTGCGGCTCTGCGGTGCGGCTGCAGGCGAGACCTTCAGGGGACTGAGAGCTGGGGACGGCTCTCCTTCAGGCGCCGCCTTCGTGGCGGCCATGACGGCTCGCCAGCGAAAAGGAGGCTGTAGGGGCGAGACCGTCCAGAAGGAACCGACCGAGCGAGGAAGGTCTCTACCGCTTCTGCTCTTTGGGACAAGAAGGTTATATGTGCCAGTGATGATCTAGTCACTATCTCATCAAGATGAAACGGGTGTTAATGTGTCTAGGTTGCTCACCTATCTGTCACAGTTACATAACTTTATTAACTCAAACACTGCTCTTCTGCCCAGTCCCTGTAAGAGACCATGCCATCTTCTTGGACTTCCACTGCCTGGATTCTGACACCGAGCAGACAGAGCACATAACAAATTAGAGTCCATACGGTGCAATTACATGAAAAGTCAGACGGATCTAAAGTCTGTTTCTTGTTCTTCACCACGACGGCCAAAACATTCACCCACAAACAGACACAGATGTCTCTACATTTGAACTATTTAAGCTAGGATGTATCTCCATGATATTTTCAGAAACATAGCTGACAAGCAGAACTTTTCTTTCTGCTTTTTGGTGTGGAGTCCAGCCTCCACTTGTGCCAGGAAAACAAGAGATGCCAGAATCCTCATTTCAAGAAGTCCCAGTGAGTGTAGCTGAGCCTGACAGTAACAAAGCTAAACAAATTTAGATAAGCAATTGAATATATTTCATTAGAGTTTATCTGTTAGCCAGCTGTCCGAGACACCAATGAGATCATTCAATTTGATATGTCAAGTTCCTTAAACATTATCAGCAGCACATTACAAATACTGTATATTCATATGCAGGAAAGCAATAAAGAACCCGCATGTGGGGGAGGGAGTGATACTCATGTAAGAGGCACACTGAAGGACATTAGGACACCGGGATTTCACCACTGTATTGCAGACGGGGATCTCTGGTGCCGAGGACAAATTAAACTGGGGCCCAACAAGCTGTGCTGACCTCTGAGGTTCAAATTTCAAAATAGTTCTGTTCTGACCAAAATACCCACAGGTGCATAAAGGAACATTCAGAGCCAGAGCTGTGTGACACACTACCCCCCCACTCCCCAGATCTGTCTGTCCTCACACCATAATAAAGGGCAATGAGGCAGAGAGCCACATTTAATGACTCAGCCTCCCAGTCATTGCCCTCTCATCAATAAACTCAACATCGCATGGCTCTCTGCCAATGAGCTGTCTCTCTCTCAAGGCACAGAATCCATAAGAACAAAGGTCCTGGAGCTCAGCGAAAGGTGTGGCACTAATACACACACATCAGAGCAGGATTAACATGATGCACAGCTCATGATGGACAACCCTTGGCAGAAGGGCTTCTCCCACGCTTTACAGACAAAAGACCGGTAACACGCTATCAGTGATTGTGCAGAAGAAAACCGATGTCTGCAATAACCCAGTCTTCAGCTTGTGCTTCTAGGATGTTTTGTGATTTAGGTGGCTGTCTCCTCCCCCAGCCCCATTACCTGCATGATGGTAAGACAAGGTAAAGCATTTTAACAAAAACATATTATATTAAACATGCATTAAAAGAGCTAGTGTAGATTAAGGCATTACTAGAAATAAACTATGAATGATAAACCACCTTCTGGTCACACTCAGTGACTTTCTGACACCAGTAATGGATCACCACATTGCATTACACTGATGCGCGGAAATTCTTTCATCTTTGTGATCACACGATTGCATTTATTACAATCACTAATTCTATTACAAAATAACAGAGCAGCTATTATCAATATTTTCTGCTATATAGTGTGCAAAGAACAAACATTTACGCTAAATCATTTTAGTTCTCCTGTCAGATAATTCCATTTTACACTTACAGGGTGCGAAAAACTTCATTTTATGATTTTCTGTTATACATAATAAAAAGGGAATGCAAAATTGAGTGTTTGAGAGTAAATAATAATAATTCTATTGACTATTCAAAGCAGTCAAAAGGTGATGCTCCTTAATGATCCGGGAAAATAAATGCTTACTGAATTTTAATGGAGCCAATAAAGATTACCATGACCATAAACCCTTATTGCTAAACACCAGGATTGAGAATACTTAGGAAATTTCTTCATGCTTTAATCAGACAGATCAATCCACCTCTCTATTGGGTATTTAGTGACAAAGCAGCGTGTGTGTGTGTGTGTGTCTCCTCAAGGTTCCTGCAAGCTATCGGCAAAGGAGAGGAAGTAAAGCAGCATAATGATAAACAAGTTAATCGCTTGTTTTGCTCCAGCAATATGAACGTCAACAAGGTCCGTTCATGAAGACAGTGCAGGGTGGCCGCCCGGAGAGCCAGGGCACACAGCGTGCACCTGGTGTGCTCAAGCTGTCCGGGCAGGCGGGCCCCCTCTCACCTGAGCAAACACACCTGAACAATGGCGCCACTGTGCAACCCGAGTGCGCGGCACGGTCCGGGGCAGCCCGGCCTCTCGGAAGAGGCTTAGCAATTCCAGTGGGGCTTAATGACACAGTGTGTGCTTTCCCCATGACCGGCCCGGACAGGACGCTCCCCTCCAGCAGAAAACCAGCCGGCCGCACGTCCCGACCGCGGCTCACCGCCACGCTCACAAGTGAGGCGCTTGACAAACACCCGCCTCAAGCAGTCCATCTCCGCACGCTGGGCGCGCAGGGCTGCGTGTTCCCCGGAGCTGAAGCGCGACTGCGTTTCTCAGGCCGTGAGCGGGGCGTGGGCGCTGCACCAGGTGGGGTTGACACAAGGCAGTTTTATCTTTCAAGGGATTTCTCCAAAAGGCTGAACAAAAGCAGGCACTTGCGCTCTTGAGTCTGTAGCCCCCAAAAGACGTGCACTGCCACGCAGTGATGGACTGCCCCGGCATTTAAAACTCATCGGCTCAGATTCGGTCTTCGCAAGCAGGGAGAATTTAGGAAAGAACCCAATCTTGGCGGTCGTCAAATGCACATTTTTTGTCTGAATATTTCACCCCCTGTGCTTTGTAGGTGTCTTCGTGTTATACAACAACGGATAATTCATTGAGAGACAACCTATCAGTACGAAAGGGTATGATAGCGTATGCTTCACTCTTTTGCGCAAATATATTCTCTTAAAAGATTCCTAAACTACACAGAAGGTGACAGACTCATTAAATCTCTCGGGTTTCATTCACACATTGGTTTTCAGCCCTGTAAACTGTACTCGTTACACATTCTTCCCTGATGAAATCCTAGTGTTACAAGTCGAGAAAGAGATTGCTTTCCTGAAAATGGAAAAACTCACGTTATGTCCGAGACTAGCATCAGAATCTGTAATGATTTTGATTAGGGAGATAACAGTTAAAATAAACTCCACGATAACGTTATAAACGTCTGTCCAGAATTGTTAATGCTGAAAACCGCTCTGGAAACATTTCATCACATCTGATCCTGTTGGCAGACATCCCACATTGAGTTTCTCAACTATTAAATTACTGAAATGCAAGTGACTTGTTCTTGCAATTTAAGAACAAAGAAATGTTTATGTTTCTCATGTAATTAAAGTTTAGACTTTAAACAAGTGCGCATCCATCTATCCATATGTGCATATATAGACATAAAAAGCACATTTAAGTCTGCAGTAAAGCAAAAGTTGTTTTATTAATGTAAAGGTCCCAGCAGAAACATGCGATAGAGAGGAGATCCGAGTCAGTAACGTTTAGAAACCCAAAGAAACACGCAAGAGCCGAACAGGTTTTATTTTAAGTAACTGGGGGGAAAAGACTGAGAAAAATGATGCCAGTAAATCGCCTCGTGCTACAAGGTTAATAATTACGCGTCGGAGATCATGCTGTTAGTAAGGCTGTTTATTCTAATATAATGTAACGAAACAAACGCGTTTCGCACTTCAAAGCGGGGTATTATTAAAGACCTAGAGTAGGGTTCCACTTACCCAGTTATTTTATGTCAAAGGACAGTTGAGCGCAGATCTCCCCCGATGTGAGACTGGCCCGGTCAGGTGCCGAGAGCTCTGGGGAGCGTGTCTTTCACGGGCTGCAAACTTTGCTCCAGGTCTGGTCACACTCCTTCAGGCACCAAGAAGATGCTGACAGCAGGAAAGTGCCGGAGGGCGTGTTGGTCGTGTGAAGTAATGATTAAGCTTGCTAAAAAAGAGAGGCGCAGGAATAAAGAATTGTTCAGAACCCAGTTTTCTGTCTCCGAGGTAGAATTTTGAAAAGTCTTACTTTTCTGTGCCCTTGTTATGAAGGAAGTTTGATATCAATGTGTGGCTGGGTAAAACCGAAAACAGAGAGTACTGCGGTATTTTGGATGCACTTACAGTATGTAGTAGGTTATTCTTCAAATTTGTAATTGTATTCCTTTTTACTTGCGCTTTTACTCTGTTGTGAATATGATATGGCATCTTGTTAATTATATTTCCCTCTGATGGTTTGTCTATCGTGCTTTTTAAAGTGCAGGAGATCTGTGCCAATAATTGGGTTAAAAACAAGCTTTATCGGTTATTGTTCTGGAAGCAAAACCGACGGGTCTGGTATGGAAGTCATCGCTGTGCAACAGCAGTTTAATAGTGTCGACTACGACCAGCCAACGACGTTAAAATATGTAATATATTCATTCATGGGGGAAAAAACTTTTATTAGCTCCACAATGATCGAATCCTGCTGAATTCTAGCGCTATTGGTTCTTGCTACGCAAACAAAACGTGACTCGTATGAGGTCTGCGAACAGGAGCTGCTATAAATGCTTCGAAGAGCACATTAGCATTTAAGTTGGCCGGTGTGTGTGGTAAATTAGGCCGACGTCAGCGCACATTCACCGTTTTTGTTTTGTTGGGGGAAATGAGGCATCCATGAATTTATGACGGGGCTGCCCAGCCTCGTGTGCCGTCTGTCCTGACAGACCTTTACACTGCCCGAAGGGACAGCAGGACAGAAGGAGTCCGTCCGCACCTCACCCTACAGTCCTTATTGCTCAGTGTTCACGGTGAGGACGAGGACGTGGACTCTTGCACCCAGCAGCAATCATAATTATAATAATAACAACAGGAGCTCTCGTCAGTTGGCAGAATCTAAATCAACTCACGGCAATCATGAGGCGATAACACGTCAATAAAATCTCATTCACCAAAGAATCTGACAGCTCTGACAAGTCCAGAACTGAGGGAGGTTACAGTATGCAATGCTCTCGGTAGTATTGATTCCCAAGTCTCCCATAACCTCAGGGTTACCTCCTGTAGGCTGAATGCTGCAGAAACAAGGGCAGGCGGATCTTCAGGACTGTCATGGCTGGTCTGTCCAGAAGTCCTCTTCACAGGATCTGCTGGTTGGGACGGCGGCAGTCATTTGTAAATTTTGTGTCATTTACAAGAAATATTAAGCAGAACTTGTTTTTAAATGGTTTAACTTATTGTTGATTAAGGATTTAATCAGCACAGATTTGTAGTTATGTTCTAACATTATTTCATTATTTAAGAACTGAAATGGTTTTAACATTACTGACGAATGGTTAAGTGTAAGTGCAACTCCAACTAACGTAATTCACAGTAAAAACCAGAAGAGTGATGAGAGAGTATTTCACGGTTATTGTGCGTCCTCTATCGGTGGCCGTCGTCATTGCATCTCTTGTGCATTAAGAGGCTGCACTGCCCTGCCGCCCAAAATACAGAATTCAAAAACACATCCCTTGAGCTGGATCCACTATGTTTTAAACCTGGCTGTTGCACAGTGAGCCCCACCCGGATGGTTTCCATTATCTTTATTTTAATCACTTGATTGTGTTACCAAGGAAGGTCGTCTACCTTCCTGTACACATGAGAAACATCGCAGTGCATCCTGTCGGAAGTGGGTGAATTTTCACTAATGCTGGTTTAATTTTCATTAAAACAGTCCGAGCCGATGCTGCTAGCTTCTCGCTACTCTTTACCCAGCTAATAAAGGATGTTATCAGGCAGCAATTGCGCTTCCGTGATTATCCATGTTTCACATGAAACAAAATCAACTTTCGTTTCGCACAACACAGGTATTCACAGGTATGCACTTGACAACACAGGTATTCTCACGTGTGTCTTTCTCCGGTATTAGACTAGATCGCACGGTAGCTTTTACTGGAGAGGGGTCTTCTACTCCGTGTTGCTTAAATGCCACATTCAACCTCAGCTCCAACCCCAGCCGAAACCCCTTTCCTTTCCCCCACCACTAATGCGAAACATCCCCCGTCCTAACCCAGGGCGAATGGAAACTCAGACCGTAATATAACGCTGGTGCGGAGGAACTGTCGCTAGATGGCAGTGTTGGCCATCCTCGATAATGGGAGCTTCGTTAATCCGCTTTGTTCATTTCAGCTGATTGGAAGATTGTGTTCTGTAAAGAGAACAGAAAATAGAAGAAACCTAAGAAACGATTTTAAACGAATTCATGATCTGGCTCGCTCTAAATAATGAAAAAGGCAAACAAACCAAACGGCCTATTTCCAGTCCAGGATACTAAAGTTAAGCTTTTGAAACCTGGGCTCTTTGGAGGAAACCTGAGCTATGAATATAAGTCTGTTACAGCCTATAGTTACCGATTTAAAGTTTAATACAAACATGTAATAAGGCACCAGTTGAACTGATAGAAGCAGAACTATGCTCAACTATGTTTCTCCACAGAAAATGCTCAACATTTCTTTCAATATCTACGTGCAGAACAGAGAATACTGGTCTTGTTTTTGTTTCGTACTGTATGTCCCTGTGCCGACGGAGCCGCAGGCCTGTGACGGATCTTTAACTCACAGCGCCTCAAGGTGGGGCAGATGGATGTGCCGGGCTGTGTTCGCTGCTGTCAGGGAAATGGCATCATGTGTCACTTGGATGTGTTTGAGGAATGCCGATCGCCTGCCCGCCTGGGGCCTCCGTGATTCCCACAGTAAGACAAAGCCGCACAGGGAGCGGGGAAAAGCTCTGCTTCTTCCCTGGAAAAGGCACAGGGATGGATCGACAAGTTAAAACCTCAAATACTGTGGACTGGGGTTGATTGCCCTTGTCTTTACAATCTAAAAGGTGGCGCACTTTGTCGTTCTGTAAGGCTCTGTAGCTGACGGCTGACCTTCAAGAGGCTGCGTTTATGAGAGCAGATCAAGACCTCGATGAGGCTGGCTCAGTGTGGTCTTGTGATTTTGTCCCCAGTATTTGCCAGTTACTATCATTTTCATCATTCCTTTCTACGTGTCAGCGTGTTTTCGCTGTGTCTTATAATACCCTGGTATACAGCAGTAGATTTGCCTAAAACTGTTTTTCTGCTTTTTACTATACAAAAGAACAAAACATTTTTTTGTTTTTGTTTTAGTGCGAACCTCGTGTTTCCCTGGGAAATCCAAAAGGCATTTATTATAAAAATTAGCAGAGCAAATATTGTTGGTCAATAGAAACGATTGTGAAGCTTACAAGTTGTCCACTAATCTGGAAAGCTGTGGGTATCCCAGGTAATAAGAAATGAGGCGAGGGAAATACACAAACAGCAAACAGGAAACAGGCCAGGTAATCATAGAATCCCTCTGAATGTATCCAAAGGTCAGTCCTGGTTAAACAAACATCCCAGCTTCTTCCTTCTCAGGGGAATATTCTCCTCTGCTTCACGGAATACACAGGACATCCAGGTCAAGTTACTGGTACAGCGCCTTCCCTGAAAATTGAAAACAGAAGGAAAAGTGCTGGGTGTAGGGGTGTTATTGCACACACCAAAAGCACGAATTCTAATTCTCCAAACCAGTAGAGCAAACATTCTAAAGACACTGGTTTCTTTAGAGAGTGCTTTTATATGCAGTATACAGCCTTAAAGCCCTTACAGTTTTATATATTTCATTTCGACCTGTGCAAAATAGAATACCTTGTAAATATTCTTTAAAGGGGAGTCAGCACAGCACGTTGAAGATCATTGCTGACCCTGTGTTACGACCATTTGCCTGTTGCTTGTTATCCCACATTTATACTGGTGGAATCTTTAAATTTGTCCATTGTTTGCAACCAGTCAGCACTCCTAACACTCAGAATAGAAAATAGCACAAAGAATGGACTAGAAAACAAGACTGAAGGCTCACCCTTCTTTTACAGACTTTTAGATACTGAGGACTCCTAGCTAAATTCCTTCACTCTGCGTTGGAGCATTTTAAGTTCCTTGTGTTCCATGTGATTGGGTGTTTTATGGTTGGATTGCTGTAGAGATCTGCTCTTTTTATGGTCACACTGTGTTTGAGATACAATGAATGACAGAGCTTTATAAATTGAAGGTTTTATTGCAAATATAATTTAATAAACCCTTTAATAGTAATAATCCATAATTAACTTTTGATTCTTCTTCTTACATGTCCTTGGAGAAAGATGAATCGGAGGGTGACAGAATATTACACTGCACTGGAATTCCCTTTCAACAGGGCATCAGGGAGCCAGAATCCAACAAGTTTATAAATTCTGTCTTTAAATATTGTCCTATGTTCTTCTTTGATCAAGTGCTTTTCCATGTTTTTAGACATTTGTATGTGTCTGAGATGTATTTCAGTATTTTAGCTGAGTGCATTTTATCTCTTTAATACTGAGAGGGATTAAAATGAAACAAATGTGTTTTGGAGCCATTAGACTTTATTGCATTTTTAATGCCTCACATTACACTTCTGATTCACAGTACAGCACATTGATATCATTTATCTGGTTGTTGTGCTATAAAGAGGATGATGATGTGATGATGGTAAGGAGGAGGAATATCATTCTCATTATTGTAACACCGGTGGTATACTGTGGACCAGAGCAAGTGAACGGGATTAATGACGTAGTTTTAGGGAGTGGGCGTCCTCAGAGGGGCTCTGTAAGAGTAGTAGGAAGAAACACACCCCCAGAAGGTCTCCACAGCCGAAACGTTGTGCTTCTTTTCTTCCCCTGTCAGAGTGGAATAGACCTGGAGTTGTTCCTCTGCAGCCTGCGCGCGCTGACACGTCTCCCTGCTTGAGTGCTATCAGAGAGGTGCAAGGTTCGAGCCCTTCCTGCCTGCCTGTGTGTCACACAGGGTGCTCCTATACCCCCAGCATGTGGGAGATGAGCTAGAAGCAGCAATACTGCCCCAGCCCCCCAGACCGTCTCTGCTTCTTCAATCTCCTCCTCCTCCCCCGCCCAGTCTGGCCAGGTCACAGGCGCTGCAGGTGGGTTCTCTGCCCCTTTCTGATACTTCCTTTCATGCCTTTTAATAAGAGACAGATCACTGACCATCAGCCTCTGACATGTTTTTTTTTGGTTTAAAATTTCCAGTGGCTGTTGTATTATTACTTGTTGTATGAGTTTTAAATATGGTTTCAGTTTACAGCAGTTGTCTTACAAACCCAGGCAGTTTTATCCTGTAGTCCCAGAGTGCAGCTTATTCCCCCTTCTTCTGGAAGATTTTGCCCTCTGATCTGCGCTTTCTAGATGATTTCTGATGAGGAAACGTCGGTCCCTCGGAAGCTTCTCTTTAACAGCTCGCAGCAGGAGGTAGTCTCTGTTTCTGACACCATCCTCCGGAGAAAGAGGAGGAGTCGAAGAGGCTCTGTACGGAAAACAGTCTCTCCTCGCAGTTCCAGGGCAACAGGTCCGTCCTCAGATCACTAAATCATCCTGAAAACCAATCAAGATCCAGAACATCTAAACTTAAAAGTCATAGGGTATGTCAGCCACAAATCTTATAACAAATGCAAAAAAAATCCAGATTTGATGTAAGGGAAAATATAGCTTCCACCCAGAATAACCACCTTAGAGTTTTGGCAAGCCAGGCTGAAGGGAATTGATCCTTTTTGAGAAGATAATGAGAGAACCTGATACAAGTGTTCATAATCCTCAAAATCATCAACACAGCCCACTCAGTGGACTTTAGAACAAACAGCGGCATGGTGAGAGGACTCAAGAGAAACTACTCAGAAGTGCATTAAACCCAAGAACAGGGAACACTTCTTGACCCAAAGGAGCATGGAAGTGAGTTCTTTAACAATCTCAGAATCATTTTTAATCAAGCTAGAAATGTATTTTGAGAATCAGAGCATGGTCATATCATGGGACCCTTAGTATTGTGAGTCAAGATGAGGAAAACACATAGAGCCAGCTTGTCTAGAGCAGCATGTTTAAGATGCAGGGCCTGATACTCCACTCACTGGTCTACTTCTCCATTTCCTTTTACTGGAGCAGAGCCAGTCACCTCCTCATCATGGGCATCTGGAAGCCAATTAATCAAGAATCACCCATCTTTTTATAATACTATAAAGGTAAAATCAACTGGAAAAAGACTTTGGCCAAAACCCCTCTCCCACTACAGTGGTCTATGCTAGCAATGCCCCTGTGTGTTTGTTTCTGCAACAGTTTATCAGCATCTGTTTAAACCAAATGGGTTCACCCTTCTAATGTGGAAATGAACTGAACTAGATAGAGTTGTTCTGCACAGTCCTAATAAAGCTATGTAATCATTCTGGCAAACCTTAGCGAAATACATGTTCCTTATTTCACAGGCACATTACATTTTTTTGTTTGTCCCTGTAAGGTGTTTTTCAGTGTTGGAAAGGTTTTTGCAAATAAATTTTGGCCCTTGCAGGATATTTAAATAATTTTTAAGAGTTCCTGAACTGAGCACTCCCTATCAGCATGTTATATTAAGCGGACAAAAACACAGTGTTTTAGAAGAAAAAGCTTTTTGCAGTATGCTTGCCATAAAAACACCTTTAACCGAAAATGTTAAACTCCAAAACAAACCTTTCTGTCATTGTCCAGAAAATGCAAGCCTGTGGCATTGCTGATCATCCTCGACTGCTGTCTATTCCTCAGGCCCCATCTGACACACAGTTTCATGTATAATAGATCACCTCCTTCAGAAAAAGACAGGAATGCAGCATGACAGGCCGTACTCTGGGTTGGTGTCTTGAGCTGGACTGTCAGGCACTAGGCTGTGCTTCAGGGACTCCTTGTGTCACAGTGCCTTCAGTTATTGCCTTTCTTTTCCAGCACAGCAACAGATTTTCAGTGGCATTACCTCCAACCCCAAAAGATAAAGTTAACTGGAAGCAAAACACTGCTAGGCGGGTCACAGCTTTGTCTGCGACTTACAGAACTTTTTCGTCTGGAGACGCTGTGCAGTGTCACCATCAGCCTGTACTGATCATTCAATTTGCTCCCGCAAATACATTGATCCAAGACAGAAATGCCTAGGGCCATCATGGCTGCATTCGGCAAAAGATCAATTTACAGGAATCAAACTGAACATTTTCTAGTAATTTAAAAAAGACAACAATGAAGCTGGTCTGTGTTGTACATAGTAGGCATATGGTCACCTATGGCTGTGTCTGTGTTCCACATACTGTACCAAATTCTGATTATCTTATAACTTACTTCAGTTGCCACCACAGCAGCTGATAAACCACACCAAGAACTGTTGAGTCTTCAGGATCTCGGCTGGGTCTTAGGATTTTTCAGGATCCTGTGACCTGAAATCTTCTTGAAGTGGTTTTCTTTTTCAGTACAAGTGTTTCTACTGAGATCCATGTGGGCCACCTTGATTGATACATGTGCATGCTGCAGGAACTGCACAGAGAATCAAGCTCGAATTGGAACTGAAACAGAGACAGTTTGAATCCTGTTTTCGTAGCCAGCACTGCTGGGATCTCTTTTGAAAGAAGCGAACTGTCAAGGGTTGAACAGCCTCAGATGATGTTTACTGTGCAGATACTTGACAAAGTGCCTTCAAATATTTATAAGAAGTGATAAACCAAAAGCAGCCACAGAGAAAGGTAGAGATATCTTTTATTTTTTGCTTACTATCTCTCAACAAATCAAGGTGAACAGCAGCCAAACAGGAACTGAGGCCTTCCATTAATGGAGACAGATTGCAAAACAGGGCAGCCTGTGACTGCTTCATTATTGTAAATATGATTTTGGCCACAAGCATTCAATTAAAACAAAATGAAACCGGTGTGATAATTTGGCTAAAAACTCATTTCACAGTAAATGAAGTATACTGGTATAGTTCGCAAGTATGGCGTAACATTTAAATCAGAGCTGTCCAGCCTCTTCAAAGCAGCAGCTGGCAGAAGCTGTTAGATTGGCAGTAAGAGCCAAGCTGGAGTGAAGGGCTGCAGAAGCACCAGCCCTCCGGGACCAGGAGATACTTCCTCTCCTCACACAGATGACTGTCCCCATTAGCTGGAGACTGAGATCTGACACTGTAAACCATGCTCATCCCAATGAGCTTCAGAAAAAGACTTACCCTTTCAATAAGCAACTACAAGGAAAACAAAAGACTGCAAGGAAAATTACTGATTTTTTTTCTTGTAGAAGTTTAACGTTTGTCATCAGCGGGGGGGTCAGCTGTGAAAGTTACAGGCTAGTAGTGTGTATGATCGCTGTCAGGAGCAGTACAAGCCATGTGTCTCTCAAGCTTTGCACCAGCTTGCAGATGTTGTCTTAAGGGACCATATATCCCGTTCCTCTTATTAATCCAGAACAATCCATGTGCCTCTTCACTGGTCTATGTGCTCTCGCTGCCACAGGCTGTCTCAATAAATCCGACAAGCCTGCGATGGGACTTGAGTCTGCTGGAAGGGGAATCTATGGCATGCTTATCGCTTTATCGTCTGGCAAGAAAACCTGTGCGACATGAGCAGAATATTATCAAGGGTTGGCAGGTGAGGTCCTGTGTAGCGCCATGTAGTCATAAGTAGACACTCCCGGCCAGACCATCACACTTTGGCCTCCCCAGCAATCCTAGCAGAGATGCTTGACTCGTGGTCTCCCACGGTGGGCCGGGCTACTGACGGACTGAGCTAGACTGTAATGCCTTGCCAGGTTAGAAACTGCTGCCTCAGACCGGGGGAGCCTGCTTGCAGATGAGTGTCCAAGCACACTGATGGCACAAAGCTGTTGTCTTTGTCTGGCTAAGAGGGGCCTAGTAATAATAATAATAATAATAATAATAATAATAATAATAATAATAATAATAATAATAATAATAATAATAATA